ATGCTATGAAAGCAAAAGCTGTTCTAGTGCTAACTTTGAACCGGACGAAAGTCATTTGTGGTAGAAATTAAGGTTGTGAAACCACCGACAAACCGACATGAAATTCGAACATAGCTTTTAAGCTATACTTCACAAGTACGGAAGCTGTCATGATGTTAGGAGGCTGGATATTACTGACTGACAAGCACTTCAAAAATAATTAAAACAATGTAAATTAAAGTGTCAATGCATCTTCGCAGCATGTCTGGTTCTTTTTTGCCACGGGTAATATTTTATCTAATGATAACGTTTTAATTACAGATACCCCACCACCAGCGAAAAGAAGGAGTTGGCGTGTGATATTATGTCTGCTTTCCCTCATCTAAGGTCGACAAAAATAACAGAGAACGCACCAGATTATGTAAGTATTCAGAATGTTAAAATTTATTGGAAGGTTTTTAATTGATTTTATTTTTGTAGTCTTCGTTATTTTGGCAGCAATTGCGGAAAAAGAGCAGAACATGCTCATTCCGGCCTAATACAAACCCATATCCGAAATTCCTGCAGATCGAAATCACCAAGTAAAAAGAAGTATTCTCCACAGCCAAAAACTTTCGAAGCATCTAGCGTATCATCCGAAATAATTGCGTTATCCGAGGAATGTGCACAACTGGATGCGACACCCAGAGTTACGACCTATCACAATCACCATCATCAAACAGCTGATGGCCTATTAAGCACAATCCCCACTTAGTCTTTCTTAATCTAGCGCAGCTTAGCACCAAACGGAATGTTATTATTACTGATGGCTTCCAAATTTATTTACCTTTCCGTACGTACCGTAAGATTTGATAAAGAGAAACCAATCATTGAGATATTGTCAAAAGTCTAATACTGCTTCTTGATGCCAAACTCGGCCTACGGATTCTAAACTCGGCCTAACGCATTGAAACGCCATTGAAACGCCAATGAATTCACTTCGGCCTATCGAATGAAGATAAAAATGGATTCGGTCGGAGCGCTTCTTTTGTTTTTGGGAATAATGGGTGCAAACCTTCATATCACGCGTTCTCATTGACTTCGTTCGGTAGATTATTAACTAAAGTATCGTACTAAACGCATAATTGACTTGTTAACTCTGAAATCATGGATTTATTTGAAGTTTTCTGCTCCATAGGCCAAAAATGGGCGATTAGGCCGAAGTAGTTCTCTACCCTAGTAACGCTTTGTACATTCCTATCAATATGCTCGTCGAAGCTCTCTCCATGACCATCCATCAAGTTGACGAAAGAAGTAAAAAGCAACTGGTGAATCTCGTCTTCTGTTGTGATCCATCACCGATCTGGTCATTCCTGACAATCACGACACTCATCTGTGCTCGTTTTGAAGCAGTTGCTGCTTTGCTTGCTTATGTTAGTGTGTCGGTGAGTGAGCCCAACAGCTTCCGTTTCATGTTGCCTGCTTTGTTTGTAACTTACACACTCGCGCTTGCCGAGACGAGCTTGGAATGCGAAGGCATTGTTTTCATTTTCTTCTGTCGTTTCGCTTTTTCTCATGATAGTACTGCAGAAGTCTTCACTGTTTTCGTTGTGCTTTACATTATCAGCAGCGAGTGTAACGTTTTGCTTGTGAGCAGTGATCATTACTGGTGATTGTTGTTTGCCATGGCTCTAACTCTCACTGCGTGACAAAACGATCTGTCAGCGATAGTCGGTTGATGCGAAGACACTAATCCAATAATTGTAAATGTATTCCGAACTTGTATAGACTTTGTTTAGTTTACCCCATTTAGCTATAAAAAATAAAATTTGTCAAATTTATTGATTTTTCACGTTTAACGGTCATTAGAAAATTTAACCGACTTGATCTGCTGTTCAAAAACCCGGTAAAACTCTACTGACTTCGGTGAATGACCGGTTATTGCCACTTTTATTCATGTTCTATGGCTTTTTTTTCCTTAAAAAATGACAATTTTCTTATTCAAATATCTCGAGTTAAAAAAAATTATACCTCTGCCATTTTTTCAGCAAATATAGAACCAAATGTCTTCTTTCCATTCCTTCCAAAACCTAGATTTGAAATTGGCTTGCGCGTTTTAAAGTTATATTAGTTTAAAAAATACTTGTTGCTTACTTTAAAATGACTATATCTTTTGATTCAGTGGTCCGAACGTCATAATTAGGTGATCAAAATGTGTGTTTTTTAAAGTTCTAAAAGTATTCTGAAAAACAAAAAAGGTTATGGTCAAAAAACTGTTTTTTTCATGAATCACCCTAACCTTCTAGTTGTTTCAGTTCGTAGAATGCGTAGATGATGAGATAAAAATTTTACGTCTTGGACAAAGTTGCTTGATTTTGCATCCTCTACAACTTTGAAGAAGTTAAACAAATTCCCAAAAATTTCCCTGATTAGTTAGATTTTTGAAGTCTCCCTAAAACTGAATCACCCTAATAACTGATCCAATGAAAAGATGCGCTTTTTAATTACCAACAACTCTATGCAAGACATCAAAACGCTAAAACCAGTAGATTTTGCGGAAAACCCAATTTCCATGTATTTTTCCGCTCTGTACCACTGTGCATTGGTGAATCCCAGAAGAACCTACGTGATACCTGTGGAGGACTCCAACGACAGCTGGACAAGTTCTGGCAACGCTTTCTGGTGGAGTATTTACCAGTTATCAGAAGAGAACCGAAACGGTTCAACGAAACCAAACCCCGCAGTTCAGAGACCTTGTTCTGGTTGTATACGAAGGTAGGCGTGATGAGTGGGTTCGAGGTAAGGTGAATCCAGATCATCCAAGGGGCTGATGGCAAAGTTCGACAAGCTGCTGTGCAGACGTGACAGGGGCCTTTCAGGCGACCGACATCAAGACTTGCTCGACTTAGATGATCGAAGTGCTGTTCCAGAAGACGATGGGAAGCACCGGGGGAGAATGTTAACACCGGTACCTTTGAGTTGGTCACCCTATCTCAATCGGTTCCAGCGCTTGACTGATTAGCTGTCGTCCCACATTGACAAATCAATACAAATGAAAAATAGGATAGCAGAATAATTACTAATGTTGTCACGACGTTGATCATATTTCTACAATTTCTACTTAAACTTAGTTATCCTACTATGAAATTTATTCAGTTAGCGCTTAAAACTTATGTCTTAAAATAATTACGAACTAGTGGAGGTAAGAATACTGAATTAAAAGCTAAAACTAGAATCTAGATGTTAAATTAATCTTACACCAACTTAGGACTTAAACCTAACCTAGAAGTTGGACAGGGAATTGAAAGGCCTATTTAATCCCTAGGGCTACTGCAGAGTAAGTTATTAGCCAAATGCCTAAACTAAAGTTAAACTAATTATTAACAGTTTTTTTTCGGCGCCTGTGGTGTAGTGGTAAGCGTGATTACCTCTCACCCAGGCAGACCTGGGTTCAATCCCAGTCCGCGCCGCCGGGATGTTCTGAGACATAAAATCTCTGATCACGCCTTCCTTCGGAAGGAAAGTGAAGCCGTTTGGCCCCGGTTCATGAGTTGCTGGGTCGATAGGTAGGGTCCAGGCGTTGGAGCTGCCTCCCTGGTGTTGGTAGCATTGGTGCTCAGCACAAAAAACAAGATCGACGGAAAACAAATCAAGTGAAAAAAAATCATAGTTTTGAAGCGAATAAAAATCTAGCTGCAAAAATCAATGCGCCACCTTTCGTTTCCTGTCGCAACAAGCTCATTTCATTAATTGAACACTATAGATTTCATTTGTTTTCCTAAAGCTCAAGATTTCTAAAACAATTTTCAAGTTCTATCTCGCTCATATCAGCTTTAAAGCGGGCAACAATAAGTATTAATTATCCTGTAACTCTGAAAAAAAATGACGAGCGGAAACGGAACGTAGGCTCTCAGATATGATTCAAACGACCGTTAATTTCGTTTATTTAAGAAACACAATCTGAAATGCATTGTCTCTCAACTTCTAGAATTTCCAAACCCCCATTAAAAGTTGTTTTTTGTTTCAGATTATCTCATCGTGGTAACTTGGTTTTCCAACATCAAACCGACTATAGCTATTCTTTGTTTGGTCTGCAAAATAGTTAAAACAACCCTTTGCTATTACTTCAAACATACATACAAACAAACGCTATTTATAATGAACGTTATGTAGGGTAATACAGGGTAATATGCACCACGGGGCAGAACGCCCTTTTCAGCTTTATAGTATGCTTTGATAAAGTTCATTTAACGATGTTTTATGTTGCATTGCAATCTAACAGGACGAACTATCTAATACTAAAATTTGGGAGTCGAAAATATGCTGACGCCTGGTGCGTTTTAGATTGTCCTCACCTACGTGTAAACCTAGTTCCTGCATGAGCGAACCAATTCCGTCGTCAGGTGGCAACCGGATAAACAAGCCCCCAATCCACCCGGATTCAAACTCCCACCATTGCGCCAGCAGCAACGGCAGGCCTCAATCCGGTAAATGACTGCACCAACTGCTGTTCCAGAAAGTCAGTCCTCGAAATTCCTTCGTTCGGTTCGGTTCCGAGATTTCGCGTCGCAGACTGCGGATACCCTTTTCTGCGTTTCTTAGGTTCAGTGAAATCATTACCCCAAGCAAATGAAAAGAAAAACCCGAAAAACGGAGCAATCTGTGGCAGATTAATTATAACTGCACGATAATTCCAGACGCAGACATCCTACGACGGCTTACGGAACAGTAGGCTGGTGTAATGTTCTTCGGAAAAACCTCTTTGATTTCTTGACGCGAATGCCATCTTAGTAGGCATTTTAATCTTCTTCCACGTGGCATGGACTGATGGGTGATGGCACTGTGGAAAATTGTTGTAGAAAGCAATTAGTGTAGCGAAGTGTATGCGAAGGAACATAATTTTCCAACGAAAGTGAAGGGTGCGGCGAAGAGAACCGTAAGACGGGATATTGTTATCGCGAGAAGCAGTCTGTGAGGAAAATTTAATTTTCTTTACTCCTATCCGGAGCAAGGGAACACAGCGAGAGCCGCGCACTGGTGCTTGGGAAAGGAATTAACTATGCTTTCGCCAACCAGCTTGGATGAAATTAAGGAACGGATTAGCAAAAATGAAGAAAGTAGGTTATATTTGGGATTTGGGCCATTTTCGTGGCATGGGAAGATGGAATATAATGTATAAATGCACACTTAAAAAATGTATGTAAATTTAGGTGCTCTGACATAGCGTAAATTTTGACGTAAAATTGAGCCATAACAGACGCAAAATTCAGCTCAATCCATCGTACTTTTCGTCGAGTATCGAACTGTTAAGTCTCGGAGCACTTAATGTTACATGACATGTTTGCTTACGTCTCATACTTTATGTCAAATATGGATTCCGTCACGTATTAAATTAATTATTTCTAAGTGTGTGACTACAGATTGAAGGATTCCTTGGTAGGTAAACGCAAGTAAATTAGGGGGAGGGGTCTTTGTAGACTGCTTTTTTTTAAATCTACTACTATTAAATGAAATATTAAAAATCTATCATCACCATCGTGACGAACAAAAATAGTTTTTGCAGTGCTACAATAATTATAAAAAAAAAGTAATTATGACAGCTATCCATATAAAATAATCCGTTAGAGATAACTTCGTCAAGATACATAATTTGTCAATTCATAAAAAAAATACTGGATAACTGTTCAAACGACAGATTAAACAAATGAAATGCAGTGTCTTTTAAATTCTGTAAGTGTTGCTGAACGTATGATATGTCTAGGCATCGAATTGAAAACATTTATTCCTTTAAAATATAATGAATTTTGTGAAGCACAAGTCGAGAAATGTGATGTTCTTATTTCAACCGCGTTTCTAGTGTTATATCTATGAAAATCACTTCCTCTTTCAATCCGACACACAAATATCGAGGCAGCAAACCGTTAACTACTTTAAAAAGGAGCACCATAGTCAAACATACAATTCTTTGCTTCCCAGACAACCATTGTAAGGCGTCTAGCATCGAAGTTGAAGAAGTGAATCTATTGCATCTCAATATCAAACGTATTATTTTAATCTGCAATCTTTGTAATCTCGATATTTGTGTTGCATTTGCCAAAAATAAAATGGAAGGGCAAAAGTCTAGATGAGGAGAGATGATTGATTTGTATAGCTGTATTTTACTGGCAATAGTTTAATCGTTTTTCAGTTGACATAGAATTCCATACTTCTTGGCAATTTTCTTGATGACATTGTCAATGTGAGAGTTGAACTTAAGTGTGTCATCAATAATCACGCCAAGATATTTAATCTCCCTAACGCGATCAATAGTCTCATCATCAATAACAACAGAGTCGTTCTCATTTAATCGATTCCGCGAAGTCACCATGAAGTTAGTTTTACTTTTATTGATTTTCAACTGCTTATACTTCAACCATCTACTTAGAGAACGCAAATCTTCATTCAAGTGTAAAACGGCATCAACTAAATCCTTAGCTGCAATGAATAGCACAGTATCATATGCAAAATAATGATTATGAGATTAATGAGATTAATGTCGCAAAATCGTAAAACACGTCGCAAGTCATTAATATACATAATAAATAACAGGAGCCCTAATACACTTCCCTGGGGCACTCCAAGGTTATTCCCCACGGGACTGGAAACAGAATCATTAAAAACAGTCCGTTGAGTTCTGTCAGACAAATAGCTTTCAAACCATTTATATGCACTACTCGTAATTCCCAAACGCTTGATTGATCTTGAGGGCCTAGAAATTGTTTCAAAAGCGCGTTTAAGATCCAAAAAACAGCAACAATCGTATCTTTACACTCCAAGTTATTTTTCCACTTCGCTAATACCAAATTCAACGCGGTTTCACAAGAATGACCTTCCCGATATCCCGATTGTTCTGGTATCAACAAACTATTACTATTTAAATACTCCAACAGCTGGCCTTTAACAACAAGTTTTAAAATTTTCTCTAATGTGTTAACTCTTCGGCTTTAATCGTTCCAGTAACTTTTTGAATAAGAAAAAACTAAGGATTCCTTTCAAATTTGTGGCACATGTCCAGTTTGCAATGATTCATTAATAAGGTCCAGCAAGATGTGGCCAATGACATGAAATCAATCTTGAATAACTCTAGCATTAACATTGTCTACTCCAGCCGATTTTCCTAATGAAAAACAAAGACCTCCAAGTTCATCTAATATAATTGGGTGAAAACCTTCAAATCTACAACTACTATTAACTGGCTGTTTTATTTCGTCAGGTTCATCGACCAATTCAATGGATTGATTAATCACATTAATCACAATCACTGTCTACAAAATAATCTTTAAACTTAGCTGCAATTACTTGTTCTGACTGTTCAAATGGACCGCGGTTTGCAATTACTAGGTTTTAATAGAGATTTCAAAATTTTCCATTTATAACTCTTATAACTCTTTGCTGTTGCTTTGATGCTGATCAATCTTCCTTTGAACATATTCACTACGAGTTTTTTTTTTATCGGACACACAACGTCACCCTTTTGTCTGGAGTGCGGGAATGTGGTAGAATCACCAGAGCACGTGGTCTTCAAATGCCCTGGATTTGATACTGTGTGAGAGGTGATGCTTCGAGAGGAGGGCACCTAGAATGCCATCAGCAGAGCAGTAACGCAGATTATGTCGGCGATGCAGCGAAAATTGCGAGAAAACAAGCTAGAAAGTCATAATGTGCTCACACAAGCAGCGTTGCCAGATGTTCCGATTTATCGGTATTTGTACCGATTTTCGAGCTTGATACCGATATACAGATAAGACTTCTCAGAATACCAAATATTTAGATTCCATACCGATCTACACCGATTTTTTAATTATCCAAAACTGTCAGAGAAAGCTATTCTGAGAGATTTTTATCTCTTTGAATACGTCAATATCAATTGCAAACAAAAACTTATTCCTCTTTAAAATAGTCTTAACGCCCGAAAAAAAAAATTACAGTGAAATTTTCAGTGGAAACAATGCTCTAACATTAATATTTATTGTCGACAATAAAAATGATTGTTATAATGTTGTACCCTTCCGAAAACGGCAAAACTGCTACCTAGCTGTACAATGAATGTTACATAATAACATGTAACATAATAAAATGTTGTAACAATAATTTTTATTGTATTTTTCATTTATTTTATTGTTAACATGATTCGATCACGAACAATAGTGAACAATTCTAGTACAATAAAAAATGTTGTTACATTAAATATTGGTGTGTTTTCATTGTGGGTTACTTCACGAACAATAAAAATAAATCTGATTGAAGCATGCAGACTATGAGAGGGTCAGCAACACTGCCAATGTAATCAAGATAGGCGCTGCTCGTATGACTCTTGCTTTGACAGTTCGTTTGGCTCTATTCGTTGCCGAGTCAATTGAACGCCTACGACCAGATCGGTTTGAGTTGAACTCAACTCTCCTGCCTCATCTAAATCCCGCTTAATGCAGACCTTTTCCGTGCAGTCAATAATCATACAATAATAATAAAAAAAAAAATCCACCACTTGAAGATGTCAGGAAATAACTCTCAGGTGGAAGCATATTTTCATGGGCGATTCTCTCCAGTTGAATGCATTAACTTATCAACGACGCCTCAACCACCAAGGAGACGTGACCTAGAGAGATCGAGTGCAGGGGAGTTGGCTTCCATTTCTCACAAGTTCCGGATCGAATCTCAACCCATAACCAGTAAAAAAAAGGACCACCCGTAAACAGACATACCACCCCCTTCCCTCCCCGGGGCGATGTTTTTTTTTAAAGTCGATAAAGTAGATCTGTCAAGCCAACACATACACTCTAAAGTACACTGTTATTTTTTTTAATCAATAAATTCGCCAACCAACAGTAAAATAACAATAATATATAATGTTATTGAAAAAAAATTATATGGGGACCCGAAAAAAAAATAACAACAAAAATACAATAAAAAACAATGTAACAATAAGACGAAAATTATTGTCTTAACAATGATTTATATTGTTACGTCTGCAATAAATTTACCTTGATTTATGTTGTACAAAACAGTAAATTTCATGGTAAATGGAAAATTTACAATAAAAAAGGGGGGTTGTTAAGTATCTTAACAATGAAATTTTCGTGATTTTCCCATATAATTTTTTTCAATAACATTATATATTATTGTTATTTTACTGTTGGTTGGTGAATTTATTGATTAAAAAAAATACAGTGTACTTTAGAGTGTATGTGTTGGCTTGACAGATCTACTTTATCGACTTTAAAAATAAATCGAAAAAATAAAACATTGCCCCGGGAAGGGAAGGGGGTGGTATGTCTGTTACGGGTGGTCCTTTTTTTACTGGTTATGGGTTGAGATTCGATCCGGAACTTGTGAGAAATGGAAGCCAACTCCCCTGCACTCGATCTCTCTAGGTCACGTCTCCTTAGTGGTTGAGCGTCGTTGATAAGTTAATGCATTCGACTGAAGATAATCGCCCATGAAATATGCTTCCACCTGAGAGTTCCTTCCTGACATCTTCAAGTGGTGGAATTTTTTATTATCATTGTATGATTATTTACCGCACGGAAAAGGTCTCCATTAAGCGGGATTTAGATGAGGCAGGTGAGTTGAATTCAACTTAAACCGATCTGGTCGTAAGCGTTCAATTTACTTGGCAACGAATAGAGCAAGTCCGATATCGATCGATTGGGTTTCGTCAGTCTAGTCGTCGTTTATATCTTCCTGATTTTTATGTCGTTCTTATGCACGCGTCGGCCGTCATCTGTTTTAATTGTACTTTTGTTAACTTCCGCAATTTTGATTTTTTTATAGCGAGGGGTTGTCTTTACTCACCGTCTAGTCTTTTCGTATGCGTTAATTCCTGTTTCAATGGCGGTATGTCTTGTCTTGCCATTGTGATATTTCAAGTCTTTAGTCTGAGTCTTTAGTAAATTTTTGTGTACCGTTTCAACTATATAAGAGCTCTGGGAACTTGGGATTACTACCTCGTATGAGGTGTACTTTGTAGAGGAGTGGATAGTATTGTTGTACTTAATTATAGAAATTTCCATTATCTGCTTCGGTTCCTTTCCGGGGTTTTCAGCTTTGGTGATGCGATAGATTTCTAATAAGGTCGAAT